AAGGCAGGGACTGATGTTCCAATGGCCACCAAGCCTATGAATGTCACTCTCGTGCTCAGAATCAGATGGTGGGCTCCAGACTCCACCTGGATGGTCCCCTGACCCCAGACCAAGTTTCTCCAGCCTCTAGGCCAAGACCCTAGACATCTCTGACCTCAGTGACAATCGGAGCCCTTATCCTGACCCCAGGCTGAACCCTGACCTGAGACCGAGGCCTGGACTTAACCCCAGCCCGAACCCTGACCCTGGGCCCTGATGAGCTCCCCTCCTGACCAGGCCCCTTCCATCTGTGTCTAGACCTTGGAGGTTTCCAGTAAGAAGATCTGGCTAGATCTGTCCAGGCTTCTGCCCATGGGGCCCGGATCTGCCACTGAGGTCCACTGTCAGCTCCAAAAAACACACCCGCAGGAAAGGAGGAGGGCGGGTCCCTCTGGAAACACTGGTGGATAAGGAGCAGGTGGAGGAAATGGTCCAGATTTATGGCCCCATCGGCGTGAGATGCTCCACATGTGGCCTTGGCAGCCCCCCCCACCCCTGCTCCGCATCTCCCCGGCTCTGAAACCAGAGGCTCCAGGACAGTTTGGATGTCCAACGGCTCTTACGAAATCCCAGTGTTCGATGATCCAAGTGCAAATGAATCTACAAGACCCAGATCCCCCCTTCCCTGCAAGCCCGTCTGGGTTGTGAAACTCCGGGGCCAGGCCAGGCGAGAAGGAGAGAGGCGAGAGAGCGGGAATCCTGGGCAAGCGCTTTCCTGGGGTCTGTAGGAGTCTGCGAGGCCGGGAGCCTTTGGGCTTCACTGCTGATCCTGCCAAAAGCTGCATCCCAGTCTTCCTGGAGGGGCGAGCTGTCCTCACAGGGTCCCCGAGGGCAGGGAGGAGGCGAAGGCGTGGGAGTAGGACTCTGCTTAGCCGGGAAAGCCCACTAAGGACTTTGCTTCGTGGGGGTCGTGACTGCAAAGCTAGGGGGGGATGAGTGGATCCCACCGGCAGCGGGGGACCCGGGGCAGTGGTGATAAAACACCAGTGGGGAGACTGGGGCCGCTGCCCACAGAGGCCCATAAGGGATGGGCGCTAAAGCGAGGCATTAATGAGTGCAAGACTTAGTGTAGACATCTGAAAGAACTTTGGGCTCGGAGTGAAGGAGTAGACCAAAAGGGAAGTCAGGACATCTCTTTCTGACGGCAAGGGCCTGAGGTCACCCCCTTTCAGCCTCAGCACCCTGGGCCACAAAGGCCCGGCTCGGGTCACAGTGCCCCCCTCCCCGACCCCAGAGCAGATCTGCACAGCCTGGCCACGGGGACGTCCGGGCCTGCCCAGGCAGGACGGAACGGAGCACAGGCGGCGCGTGTCATGCTTGGGAACAATTAATCCCTTGACAAGTAGAGGGTGGGTGCCCGGGCAGCCACTCCACGGGGGCCTCGGCGGGCTGGGCCTGCCCGGACTCTCAGTGGGGGCCCAGGCAGCCGGGAACCAGCACCACCCACCCCCCCAGCACCAGCTGGAGGCCAGCCGCCGGCCGGGGAGGACGGGAAGGAGCTGGGGGGACACCCACTGGGTGCCCTGGCAGGTGGCACACACTAGTACTTTCTACTCACCAGCCCACTGGTCCCGGGAAGGTTGGGGACATGCTGGCCATTCCGTAGGTGGGGATACTGAGTCTCTGAGAGGTGAAGTGACTTGCTCCCCTCATACACAGAGTAGCTAGGGGCAGCAGGGTTTGGATCCAGGGCTCTGTGACTCTGGGAAGACAGAGGGTTAAGCTGGCCGGGCCCCTGGGCTCCCAGCTATGGGCAGCTCCTCACCTCTCTCCTCCTTTCCAGGGGCTGGACTCCTGGGGGCGTTCGGGGCAGGTGAGTCCCCTGGGAGGAGCGAGCAGGGGTGGGACTGGTCATGCTGCAGGTGGCCCTGGGATCAGACAGCTGGTGGGGGAGCATGGGAAAAGGGCAGAGCAGAAGGGTGGCCTGCCCACCCACCAGCCCCAGCTTCTTCTCACTTCCTGCCGGGTCCTCATCTTCTCTTCCCAGCCCTTCTGTGGTCAGGAAAGGCCTGAGCCTGTTCCCTGCCCTCTTGGAGCTCAGGAAATGGGCTTGGCTTGAGAGAAGCCCCTGACAGAACTGGGGAGGGGTAGGGCCTGAGGTGCTAAGGAAATGCACCCAGCACACCCCCAGCCCTGGCCGGACGCATACTGCACCTGCCTGGAAGGGAGAGGGGCCGGAGTTAGAGACCCACCTTGCAGAGGGGCCCACTGAGTTTCAGACGTGGTCAGCTCAGACAAGGAGGAGATGGCGTAGGAAGGGGGACCACACCCAGGGAAAGCCGGGTAGCTCCTCTGGGGCTCAGTAGTCCCCTGCGTCTGGAGCCTGTCCGCAGAGAGGCCTGCCCCTGGGCTCGGGACCCTGGCAGCCAGGACTGGAGCTTGCAGGAAAAGATTCTCACAGAATTGGAAACAAACCTGGCTCGGTTGTGAACTCCAACCTGATTGCCCATCGGTCCTGGCCAAAGCCATGGAATGTCTCCTGGAGGGGGAGAAGGAGCAATTGGGCCCAGATGTGGGAAGGAGAGAGCCAAAGGGACCCATTTGGCTTCTCATAAACATTTTAGCATCCGTGTTCAAGCAAGGAGGCTCCTGCACTGCAGGGCAGGCTGCATGGACAGACAGACAGATGGTGGGCGATGGAAGGGGCTCCAGATATAGGGGAGGAGGAGAGGGCTGAGCCGGGGGACCCCTGCAAGGAAGCAGCACAGGCCTGGGGTGGGTGCTGATGGAAAGAACAGAGCAGGACCTGGCACAGAAAGCCCTGCTGGGCCCCCCTTTAGCTGACAGGCCGAGCAGAAGCAAGGTCTGGCCTAGGGGTGTTATGGGGGAGGTCAATGCTATCATGCCTACATGGCACCTAGTTGCTGGTCACTATTTTATCAGGATCGGCCCCTAAGTACCAACTGCTGGAGTCCAGCTTAGGGGCCTGAGCGCTGCACACGGCCCTGCCCGGTTCCTGATCACCCTCCACGAGACCCTTCCCACCCTGGGCCCAGGAATGACGCCCGCACACCAGCTTCTCTCCTCACCTGGCTCTGTCCCCTTCTCCCCTCAGGTGCTGGTGGGCTCGCAGGTGGTGGCCCTGGGGCAGGTTAGTGTTGACATCCAGGCAACCTGCCCATCAGGGGGCCAGAGCCAAGCCCAGGGTGTCTGTTAGGTGCGGAGGGCAGCTGGGGTACAGGGATGAAAGGCCAGGCGTGTCCTGGGCGCTTGCATGGGGGTGATGTTGTAGCAGTTGCCCAGGGCACAGGCAGGTCCCGGCTGGGTCCGGTGTGAGAGCAGGAGAGAAGCCCCAGGGGCCAATTTATAGCTCTCCGGCGCCAAACCTGGTCCTGGGAGCAGGGCTCACTGCTTGGTATGGAAGCAGTTGGCCTCCCAGGAGGGACAGGGCCCCGTGGGCTGGGGCTCAGAGTCTCACCGGGTCCTCCCCTGGGCAGGGCTCGGGGCCTTTCCAGCAGGCGCCTACCCGGGGGCTCTGGTGCCCGGTGGAGCAGCGGGTGCTGCCGCGGCCTATAAAGCTGCCAAGGCTGGTGAGTGTTACCCTTGGGGACATGCCGTAAGCCCTCTGGCCTCTGTGAGCTCACGACTTTGCGAAGACCCTTCCCTGGGAGGCGGGCGGGCGGGCAGAACTCTCATCCCCAATCCACCGGGACTCGGGGAGGCCGCCAGCCGTGCCCAAGTCTCAAAGCGAAGTGGCGGCGGGGCCAGGCCTTAACGCAGGGCCTTCAACCCTGACCGCCCAGGGCCCTCCTGCCTCCCACCATCCCTTGTGTGACCCCCGGCCTCTCCCACTCCCGGCTTTGTAGGGGCTGGGCTTGGCGGTGTCGGCGGCCTTGGCGGGGTGGGCGGCCTTGGTGGCATCGGCGGCTTGGGAGTGTCTACAGGTATGGTGGGTAGAGCTGGGCTGCCCAGGGGAAGGCCGCAGGCCCGGGCAGACCCCACTCTGATGCGGGCCCCGTCCCACGCCAGGCGCGGTGGTGCCTCAGGCTGGAGCCGGAGTCGGAGTCGGAGCCGGAGCGAAGCCTGGGAAGGTGCCCGGTCAGTGTGCAGTCCCCGGGGGGAGCGGGAGGGGGGCCGGACGGGGAGGGGAGAGGCCCCCCAACCCCCCCGCACCAGAGCCCTGGCCCCACGTGTGTAACATGGCAGAGATGCCGGAGACGGGCCCTGGCCTACCTTCCGGGTCCTTCTTCCAGCTCTGGGAGCAGAAAGGGAACTCAGAGACCCGCTCTTTGGCAAGCACTCAAGGGGCAGATGGGGCACGGGGGGCTCGGGAGGGACAGGCAGTCACGGCAGAGCCGGCCTAAGCCCCGGGCCACGCTGACTCCCCGTCTGGTGCTTTGCACTCTGCAACCAAGCCCTTGAAGAAGTGACTTCAGGTTGAACAAAAGGCTGCCTGAGTCCACACAGCAGGGAGGGAACATCTGGAAGCTGTTAGCCCAGAGGTGGGCTGAGCCAGCCATGTAAACAGGCTCCAGGAGACAAGACAAATCCACACACAGAAGGGTTGGCAGATGACTTCCGAAACTCGTGGGAGAGCCGCGGCCACCGCGCTTGGGTCTCTGGCAACATCCTCCGGGCCCTGGGTGGCTGGTCCGGGAGCCCCGGGGCCGCTCCAGAGAGAAGGGCCCGGGAGGGGCTCCTAGAAGCCAGGCTACGGCTCACGGCTCAAAGCTCTTCTCTCCGCCACAGGTGTGGGGCTGCCCGGTGTATACCCAGGTGGAGTGCTCCCAGGCGCAGGTGAGGGCCAGGAGAAGGAGGGGACCCGAGGGCAAGGAGAGCAGCCCCCGGCAGCCTCCCTGGTGGCCCGTGGCCTCCCCAGCTGGGCCCTGACCAGCACTGTCCCCCTGAGCATCAAAGCTCAGGCCAACAGACAGAAGGCCCCGGTCATCTTTCCCCCAAGAGCCTAGTGAGCTTCACCGCCTGCCCCAAGTGCTGACCCTAGGCCCAAACCCAGACCATTGTCACAGCCCAAGGAGGGCCGCCTGGGGACACAGCAAGTCCCAGTGTGGCCAGTTCTTTCCCAAAAGCTCTGAGTCACCAGGGGGCCGGCCCGGCACATCCACCCTGCAGGAGACCCCCCTCCGAGCTGCCCTCTTGCCCTCCTTTTCCTGCCAGGGCCTGGCCTGGCCACCCCGCCCAGCATGTGACCTCCTGAATTCCCCCAAAAGCCCAGACTCGGCCCGCTCCGAGGGATTTGCTGACAGAGTGTCCCTCCCCACTGTCCCTCTGGCTGTCCCAGCAGAGACGGGAGTGGGACAAGTACCAGATGCTCCGCCTTGTGCGGGGACGGTGGGCAGGGTGGCTGCAAATTAACTCCAGTTTAGAGAGAAGGCCGACTGAGGCACAGGCTCAAGTGGCTAGGAAATGGAATTAACACTCAGGTCTTCTGACCTTGGGTCAGGCGGGGAAAGAGAATCACGGCCACACAGGCCCCCCACCAGCCCGGGAGCCGGGCCCGTGGCTGATAGTCATTACAGAAGGTCAGCTCTGGGACCCCGGGGGGGTGTGGCTCGTCTGCCTTCCCACACCTCACGGCCAGCTCCCCCTCGGCCCCTCAGGAGCTCGGTTCCCGGGTGTGGGGGTGCTCCCTGGGGTTCCCACCGGAGCCGGAGTCAAGGCCAAGACCCCAGGTATGCGGCCAGTGGGCTGGGAGCCCAAGGCGGGAAGGAATCTCCACCCTCCTCCAGGCCCCTGTGGCCCCTGGGGTGGGGTGGAGTGGGGATGGGGACTCTGAGCTCAGGGCCCTCCGGGTGGGCGGCCGAGATGGGTAGCACCCCTCTCAGAAACCCCCAAGTGTGAGCCGGGAGGTCCAGGCAGATGGGGCCAAGCTCCAGGCGGCCCGCCGGGGGTCCATGGTGGCAAAGGCTGATGGCTCCTGTCCTTGCAGGTGGAGGTGGAGCTTTCGCCGGAATCCCAGGTGAGGCACAGCTGGGTGTCCCCCCCGTGCCCCCAGCCAGCACCCCGAATCCCAGCAAGGCCTGTCCGGTTTCCCTCATGCCTACTGCCGCAGGCCTTGAACCGGCTTCCGCACAATGTGGCCTCGATCACCGGCCGCTTCCCCAGCCCCAACCCCTCTGTCTGTGCGGCAGCCAAACGAGCCCAGAAATCCCACCGTCTGTGTCACATGCCGGGAGAGCTACAGGCCCTGACTGTGGCCCGAGCCCCAGCGCGGGGAGAGAGTTCGGCAGTTTCCCGGAGGAAGTGACCCGGGGACACTGAGGAGGGCCGGGCTGACCAGGGACAAAGACGCAGGAAGACAGGATGGTTTCTGGAGCTCACTCTGAGCAGAGAGTAGAGCGGGAGGCCGACGGCCCTGCAGGGCTGCTGGCCCACGTGGCTGGGACCTGAGCTCGCTCTCCTTGTTCCCACAGGAGTCGGACCCTTTGGGGGCCAGCAGCCTGGCGTCCCGCTGGGGTACCCCATCAAGGCACCCAAGCTGCCAGGTGAGTCAGAAAGAGGACTCAAGATGCACCACTCCCCGGGCCTCACAGATGAGAAGCAGGCGTGTGGGGGACTTTTGTTGGCCAATGGTGTCTCGGCAGGGGGGTGGGGAGGGTTAGGACACCTGAGTATGGACGCCCCACGTCTGGTCGCCTGCAAGGGAAGCCATCCTGTAGGCACCGGCCTCCCGCACATGCACAGGTACACAGAGCCGTAGCCCCCATGGGGAACCATAGGTGTTGATGGTAAGAAACAGCCTTCAATGGAAAAACCCCTCTGATGTCACCCCCTGCCCCTGCCATCAGCTCAGACAATGAGATGTTTGCTCCTGGGAGGATGATAAAGAAGAGACTCGGGGATTCTAGGGCCATGGCAGGTCCTGGATTTGTAGGGGGAGGGTCGTGCCATCAGCCCCTGGAGAAGGGGTGCCCTCTCCCTCCTCCACCCACGGCCTCTGCTCTCCCGGGAGCCTCTGTGAGCAGCTCGGGACCTTTGGTGCATGCGTGGGGGCCAGGTCTCAGGCCTTAGTACCTGTGGGGGTAGGGCTGTCTACCCAGGCAAATGGGAGCCCAGCATAGGGTTGCCATGGAGCAGCCCCTGAGCCCACCCTGCCCTCCCTTCAGGTGGCTATGGACTGCCCTACAGCACTGGGAAACTGCCCTTCGGTGAGTAAGACCCTCCTGAACGGATGGGCTTCTAGCTCTTTCCAGCTGCAGGGGCCTAGCAAGGACAGCACCCAACCGGGGATGGGGTAGAGGCTTGGAATGGGAATCCCCTAAGAAAGGAACATAGAACTTGGACTCAGCCTGGTTCTCGATCCTGACCCTCAAGCTTGGCCCCAGGCCTTGGGCAAACCAGTTTCTTCACCTGTAAAATGGGAATAAGCATCCACACCCATTTGTATGTGTTTTCACTCTGGCTGGGAGTGAGAGCGTGGAGACTCTGGGCAGCCTGACCCCTGAAGGGCAGGGTGGGGGGGCAGCCGCAGTCAGATCTGCACAGATGCCCACTGAGCCTCTCTGTTTCACAGGCTATGGGCCCGGAGGAGTGGCTGGTGCCGGGGCCAAGGCTGGGTACCCGACGGGGACAGGTAAGGAGAACCTCAGCCAACTGTCAGCCAAAGGGGCCCCAATCACCCAGGCTCCAGAGCCCCAGGGGCTGGCCAGGGTCTCTCCAGGATGCAGGCCAGCTCACCCTGCATCTAGACCCCAGTCTGAGCCTGGAGAAGGATCTCGGGTGAGGGCAGCTCCCTCAGCTCTGCTTGCTATGAAGCCCCTCCCCCATGCCCTTTTGCCAAAGGGTTGGTTCTCGTGGGGCTGGAACAGGTGGGCTCTGGAAATGCAGGAGTACAGTTTTCAGAGTCTCTCTCCTTCCCCTCCCCCAGGAGTTGGCGCGCAGGCTGCAGCAGCAGCAGCTAAAGCAGCAAAGTATGGTGAGTGCATCTGCCAGCCCCCAGTCCCCCAGCCTCTCCAGCCCTTTTATCCCTGAGAGCCTGCCTCATAGAGAACTAGCCAAGGCAGCCCCTCCCCACCTCCATTTATCAAATGTTTTCAATACCACCCACTCCTCTATCTGTCCATCCACTCATTCTCTCTTCCATCCTTCTCTCCATCCATCCCTGTCTATCCGTCATCCATCTTCCCATCCATCCATCCATCCATCCTTCCTTCCATCTCTCCATTCCTCCCTCCATCCTTTCATTCATCCATCCATCTATCCATCCCCCATCCATCTATCCTCCATTCCTCCCTCATCCTTCCATCCCTCCTTTATCTATCCCTCCCTCCATCCATCAATCCCTCCCTCTTTCCACCCTTCCATCCCACATCTATCCCTCCCTCCCTCCCTCCATCCATCCCTCCCTCCTCCATCAATCCCTCCTTCCACGCATGCATCCATCCCTTCATCCATCCATCCCCCCATCTATCCCCCAGTCCATCCATCCATCCATCCATCTATCCATCCATCTCTCCATCCATTCATTCCTCCATCCATCCATCCATCCATCCATCCATCCATCCATCCATCCAGCTATTTCAGAGACCAGGGTCAAATAAGAGCCCTGCTGGAAAATGCAGGCACTGTGGTGGGAGTCAAGAAGAGGGAGACATTATTTTTACGTGGGGGAAATCAAGAAGGTTTCTCAGAGAAGATGACATTCGATTCTGGAGTTTGCCATGTGGTTAAAACAGGAAGGAGAAGCCCAGGCAGAGGGGATGGGTACTATGATGGTTAGAATGATAATTTTAGGCGGTACCTACATGAGTATTTAAACAATGTGATAGTTCAGTATCAATTTAATGTGCACTATACAACTTCTAACCTGCTCCTCAAGCCCATGATCCCTCGGCCTGCAGACGTGGCATGGCCTTCCCCACGCCTGTGTGGTGGGCAGAGTGAGCATCTCTGCCCCCGTCCCAGCTCATCCACCAGTTCAGAATCACATTACTGGGGCTGAGGTCCTTGTCTTCACCTCCAGTCCCAGGGAGCCCCTCCTGTACCCCAATAGGACGGAGAGCATATCCCCACCATCCCAAGGGGGCAAGAGTGGAGGGGAAGCAGCGAGCCAGAGGCCTGCTCCATGGAGGCCCCGCAGGCCCTCCCTCTAGGCCCCCCGCGCTGTGGGGGATGGCTGGAATGTGGGAGCAGGAGAGTGGGGCGACGAGGGGCTGCCAGAGCTGGGCAGCCAGGCGCTTGGATTACAAACTTGGCCGAGTGTTCGGAACACAGGGAGGGGAAGCCTTGAACATTCCTACAGGGGCCCCTCTGGCCCAGGGAGCGGCCGCTTGTGGTTTCTCAGTATGTGGCAGTGATTAGAATGGGATTTGTCTGAAAACATACAAGTCCCTTAATGAGCATGTTGAAATGGACACTTTGGGGGTGAGTCAAGGAACAGTGGGGTGGGGGCCTCCTCGAGCAGGCCCAGCCGGAGATGCCTGGGCCGCATTCCCAGAGGAGGTGGTGCTGGTTAAAATTCCAGCATCCAAGCAGCCTTCCTGCCCGGCCCCAGGAGGGGCCCTGGGAGCTACGTCTTCAGCGCGCCCTTCCCGGCAGGTGCGGGAGGAGCCGGGGTTCTCCCTGGTGTTGGAGGCGGCGGCATTCCCGGCGGGCCCGGCGCAATTCCTGGGATCGGAGGCATCGCAGGTAGCGTCCGTCCAGCAGGGGCTGGGGGTGTTCTTGAGAGGGCCACCGGGGGAAGGGCCTCACGCTCTGTGGCTGTCTCTCCAGGGGCGGGGGCGCCGGCTGCTGCGGCAAAGGCTGCTGCGAAGGCAGCTAAGTTCGGTGAGTGCCCCGAGGGGTGGCCGGCCCGGACCCCGGCGCCCTCAGCCCCCCATCCGCATGGGCCTTGGACAGCCCAGTCCTACAAGGCTGGGTGGACCTGGCCTTCATCCATCTACGGCAGCCTCTATCCCCCCACTCCCTAAACATGCAATGTTCCCACCCCCTTGCCTTTGCCCACTCTGGCCCCTCTTTCTGCAAGGCCATTGTTCTCCACTGATCAGCTCAGCTGGGGGCGGGGGGCGGTGTCGCACGGAGCAGCTGGCTTCTCCCCTCCTCCCTTCAGGGCTGTCCCACTGCTGCACCCACTCCCTGGGGGCCCAGCGGAGAGACCTGACTCGGCTTTAGACCTAGATCATGGTCTTCCCACCCACAGAGCCAAACCCTCAGAGCTCTGGGCAGGTTCCGGCAGCCCTCCCCATCTCTCGGATGGGTGGGACCCATGCAGGCACAATGGCAGCCCACCTGGGATCCTGCCCTCAGGACCTACTGCTCCCCACAGCTCCCAGAGCTGTGCCCTTGGAGGCCCTCTGAGGTTCCCACAGGGTCCAGGCCAGGAGAACAATCCTTTCCTTCCACCAGGAGCTGCTGGAGGCTTGGTGCCCGGTGGACCAGGCTTTGGCGGCCCGGGAGTTGGGGTCCCAGGTGTTGGGGTCCCGGGTGTTGGAATCCCAGGTGTTGGAGTCCCAGGTGAGCTGGGCTACGTGTGTGCGTGCGTGCGCGTGCATACACACGTAAGAGAGAAATATTGAAACCGTTGCTAAGACTTTTGGATTCCCTCTAATACCTCACCCATCTATCCTCTTCTCTTCCTACCCTCGGCCATGCCTCGTCTTCTCTTCCTTGGGCTGTAACAATCTCCTAATTAGTCACGGCCAGCATCAGCTTCTCTAATTCATCTTCTGGCTCTCAGTGTACATTCCCAGCCCTTAGCTGAATAGGTGCTCAGTAAATGGTGAGTGGATGGATGGATGGATGATGGATGGATAAGCACATGGTTGGATGAGCGAACGATGAGATGGGTGCGTAGAAGGCAAATGCAAAATGAACCATTGCATAGTTAGATGAATCGATAGGTAGGCAGAGGAGTGGATAAGTGGGTGGATGGGTGGGTGCATGGTTGGACAGAGAGGTACGTTGGTTGAGTGGGTGGATCGAAGTCCAAGGATAGACAAACAAATGGACAGACATATGGGTAGATCAATGGGTGGATGAATGGGTGGTTAAGTAGACAGATGAACAGATGAGTAGATGGGGATATGGACAAGTAGGCCCTTGAGTCATTTGTGTCCCCCTTGGTCTCTCCAGGAGCTGTGTCACCAGCTGCAGCTGCTAAAGCAGCCAAATTCGGTGAGTGCTGTGCTGATTAGCTCTGCCCCGTCCTGTTCTGGCCAGAGAAGGGGAGTGACTTGCCCAGGGTCACACAGCAAGTCACTGGGAGGTCACTGGCAGAGCTGGGACTTGGAAGTGCTGGGCCCTGGGACAATGTCTCCTCCACTAGTCTCCTACCATAAGGCCATGGGGCTGAGTGATGGGAGAGTCCCGGTATGGCATTCCCAGTGGAGACAGCGTCCCTGACCCTCCCTGCCCCAACCGGGGCCCTCTCAGAGGAGCCCAAGCCTGGCTAGGGCTATGGGACCTGCCCACAGTCTCTCCAAGGCCAACAACAGGGCCCTTCCCCAAGGGGTTAGAGAGCACTGGGGGGGGGGGGTTGTCAGTAAAGGCTCCTTGGAGGAGGCTGGCCCGGGGCCCATGCATTGTATGGTCTCCAGTCCTTCATGGACCAGACCTGGGGGAGGCTTGCCTCCTCTTTCCCAGTTGACCAGCATCCCACCCCCACCCCCCACCCCCCAAGCCCTCCCCGACCTCTCTTACTGAGATGCTTTTCCACCTGATTCTCTTCCGTCTGCAGGGGCCAGAGCTGGAGTGGGTGTTGGAGGCATTCCCACTTACGGGGTCGGGGTCGGTGCTGGGGGCTTTCCTGGTTACGGTATCGGAGCTGGAGTCGGAGGTGTTCCTGGAGCTGCCCTTTCCCGTGAGCCTGAGTTCCATGAGGCAAAAGTGGGAGAAGCCTCCTCTGTCTTGTAGGGCAATGGGGGGAGGGGTGCAGGGGAGCATAGACTGGGCTTCAGAGAGCTCAGGGAGAAGCTGGGGTGGGGGGAGCAGAGAGGGGCTCTAGCACTTTAGCATAAGAGTGCCGTAGGCATAGCCCCCCCAGAGATCCAGGGGGGTTTCTGAGGGGCTCTCTCCCCCCCCTCCAACAGCTGCAGCCCAGGCAGCAGCCGCGGCCAAGGCAGCCAAGTACGGTAAGTGCCCGGCCCTGCCCGGCCCCACGCCAAGGCCAGTGCCATCCCCTCCTCCCCCGCCCTGCTCTCCCAGGGGGCCCAGGCTCCAAGGTCAGAGCACTCCCCCAGCGTGAGGGCGGAGCCACCTCAAGCTCAGGCCTCTGTTTCCCTCTCTGTTGAGGTCAAGGTTGGGAGGTCCCTGGCCCCAACTTCCAAAGCCACTCTGAACCCTTCCGCCCTGTTCAGTCGCCCACCACTATGAATATTGAGGCCCTGCTTATCACCCCCAGCCCCAACCAGCAAGTTGGAGGTGGCCTTGCAACCATTCTGTTCCCCAAACCACCCCCACCCTTCACTCTCCCAACGGGTGGGCGACTCTAGGGACAGAGCTGACGCCCTTCACTCCTCCAGGTGCTGGAGGGGCAGGAGCCTTGGGAGGGCTGGTGCCGGGGATCGGAGATGGAGTGGCAGGTGTCCCAGGTACAGGAGGGGTGCCAGGTGAGCGGTGTCCCCAACCCAGAGACGGGTTTGGCTTGTCTCATGGAAGGAGCCCTGGTGTTGACCAGGTCAAGTGCATCATTTCGCGGATTGACAAGACTTTACGGAGGCCAGAGATGGGGAGGAGGGAGGGCAAATTCCCCTACTTGGGAGGGAAGACCCTCTGCGGGATCCTAGCTTGCTGGGGAGGCTTGGGAAGTCAGGCGTCATGCAGCTAGGTGACGGAACTCCTTTACTCCAGTGGCCTTTCTGGTTCTGGAACAGGTGGGAGGCCTGGGCCACCTTTTGGCCTTCCTGTGTTCATTCTCCCCCATCAGTCAGAGGCCAAAGAGAAGAGATGAAGTTACAGGGAGATTAAGTTATAGACTTCCTTGGTTGTTTCTCCCCACCCGATTTCTCTTCTGCATGCCTTCTTTGTGGGGGAAAAATTTTCCTTTTGAGCTTTCCCCCAAAACAAGCCGTTTCCTCCAGTTTGGGATACAAGCACTGTTGGGACTTTTTTTTTTTTAATTAACACCACCTTTGGCAGAAAGCTGCACAAGACCTCTAGAGGCTTGGGAGAGGGTCTGGGCTTCTACCCATCAGCGCTGGGCTCCCCTCTGCCATAGCCAGAGCTAGAACTCAGTCGCAGAACTGCTTCTCCGGGAAAGGACATGCCCAGGTTGGCTAGTGGGCCATCCTCAGAGCAGGCCTGGAAGCCAGGCTGGCTGTCCGTGTTCCCCTCTCTTTTTTTACACAGCGTGGGGAGGGTCTTCTGGGGGAGGGGACACTTCCCTACAGGTGGTCTTTCCAGAAGAGGGGATGGGGCAGGGCATGTGGAGAGGGGTGTCAGGGACTGCCCCCTGATCCCTACTCTTCACCTCTCCAGGAGTAGGGACCCCAGCCGCTGCAGCCGCCAAAGCCGCCGCCAAAGCCGCCCAGTTCGGTAAGTGCCCCCTCCAGCCCTCCCCCATTCTGCTCCCAGTCCCCATTCTGGAGCACTGTTCCCCCTCATGTTCTCTGTTCTGGGGTCTGGCAGCTCAGCTCTCCTCGGGAGGCAAGCCCCCTCGGGCTGTCACATTCGGGGCTTTCTCACCACCATTGGCCCATCTGACCATTGTTAGGGGTGTGGGTGAAGGGCTGATCAGAAAAGCAAAGTGAGAACAGGCCCTGGCGAGCCCTCTAGGACCCGGCTCCCCAGCTTTCCCAAAGCCCTTGCTGCCTCTAGCTGCAGCTGGGGCCTGCGCCCCTCTGGACCTCAGGCTGGGCTCACCGGACTTCCACCCTCCTAGAGTACTTCTTGCGGCCTGATGAAGCTCTCCATCTCTTGCTACCTCCGAAGCCCACCCTGGCAGCCCCAGGCATCCACACCTTCCTGAATAGGGCAAACCACAGCAGCCCCACTTTATAGATTCCAACTGTATGCCAGGCCCTGGGCGGGGGGAGGTCCCTGTGCCTTGGCCTTAGGGACCTGCAGACATCAAGGTTCCGATCACAAAATTTAGCACTGTCTAGGCCAGAGAACATCTTGACTTCAGGTCTGCTGACCCCCAAACTCACGTATGGCAAACGACCCCTTTTTTGCCAAGCCAGTATGTACGGAGGTAATCCTTACACCAAGTCTATGGGGTTGGTACTACTATTCCCATTTTACAGATGGGGAAACTGAGGTTCTGAGAGCTTGAGTCACGTGCCCACATTCGCTCAGCTCAATGGCGGCTGAGCTGCGCTTTGAACCCAGGTCTACCCATCTTGCCGAGTTCCCTTTACTGTGTAACTGCCTCCATCACCCTCAGAAGCCCCAAAGGGGTCCTTGTCCTCCAAAGTTAAGAGCTCCTGATCCTGCACGTGCCTCATTGTAGGGATGAGGAAGCTGAGGCCCCTCGAGGGAAAGCAACTTGTCTGACGTCACACAGCAAGCCTGTGTCCGGGCTGGGACAAGATCCCAAGGCTCTTGACTCCCAGCCCGCTGCTCTTTCCATCGGCTTCTGTCCTTGGTCAGGACTTGGTTAAGAATGAGCTCTTCTGGCTCTTGCAGGGTTAGGCCCCGGTATTGGCGTGGGTCCCGGCATTGGTCCCGGCATTGGCATTGGTCCCGGTGGTGTTATAGGTAAGCTGCCTGAGTAAGTGGGCCTGAGGGGCCTCTGAATCCTCCCTGGGTGCCGTCCCTGAACCCCCTCCCTCTCCCTGCAGGAGCAGGGGCCCCCGCTGCAGCCAAAGCCGCGGCTAAAGCAGCCGCCAAAGCCCAGTACCGTGAGTACCCAAGCCTGAGCTGCACCCACACCCCCCGCACGATATGCAGCCTCACTGGGTCCCAGAGCGGCCACCAGAGGGGTCGGAAGCACAGATCGGGCATGAGGGACACCTGGGTTCAGGTCCTGGGGCCCACCCTAGCAAAGCAATCTCTGAGATCCCCCTGTCCTCCTGTCTGACACGTGGGGTGTCCACAGCTGCCGTGCAGCCCTGAATGCCAACCTGGGAGGGGCTGGACTTGGCGGTCAGTGGGCGTTTTAGGAAGACCATTCTTGGTGGCACTACAGAGGGCAGGTTCAGCGGGAGGAGGCCCCTGCTTGCGTCTGGACCCCCTCCCTGAGGGCTGACTCAGCTCCCTGGGAAGGACCCCCCCCACCGTGGGCGCATGCTCCTCGCCTGCTGCCCCCCCGCCACTGCCCATCTCCCCCAGGGGCTGCAGCTGGGCTCCCTGTTGGTGTTCCCGGCTTTGGGGTTGGTGCCGGCGTTCCCGGATTCGGAGTTGGTGCCGGCATTCCTGGATTTGGAGTTGGTGTTCCTGGCTTTGGGGCAGGTGCAGGTGAGGGGCCTTGTAGGGCCTGGGCGGAAACTGTCCCCCTGAGCTCCGAGAAGGGAGACCCCTCTTCCTGCCCGCACATCCTCCAGCAGCCTCACTCAGGGGCTCATAGTGAATCCCCCATTAGGTTCTCCTGAGCAATCAGAGACGACTGGGGTAACAGATGGGTGGCAGGCCAGGCAAAGGGGGCCCCAGGCTGCTAGATTTCAGAGTTTCTGTCTGCTCAGTTAGAGGAGTGACAGGGTTCCAAACTGAAAAGTAGCCCACTACCCAGGAGAAGGAGGCTGGAGGTCCCTGGGGTCAGCGGGCATGAGTGGGCCAGTCCGGCTCCCCTTCAGCAGCACTATGGCAAGAGGGCCACTAGGACCTCCAGTTCTTCACCTAGTTAGTGCCTGCTCTGCATCCAGCCTCTGGCAGATCACGCTGTGCCTGGAGCAGAAGGAAGGGGCAGATAGGACGAGGAGGCACAGTTCAGCCTTCAACCAGCCCCAGACCAGACTGGCAGCAGCATGGTTAGATACTGGAGCTCTCTACCTGGCAGGGTGAGCGCCTGGCTGGGGAGCCACCGCTTCAGAGCTTTGAGAGGAGTGATGAAGGCTGAGGAAGTCAGGGAGGGCTCCCTGGAGGAGGCAGAGCTCCCGGGCACAGACCTCGGCTGCTGACCAGCCCCGTTTTCCTTTTTCTCTTCCCCCCCAGTACCTGGAACCCTGGCTGCAGCTAAAGCCGCCAAATATGGTGAGTGCACCCCACACACCGCCCCCTGGGGTTGCTTTGCTTGCTGCCCCACCAGCCCTGATAACACCTGGTCACCCATCTCCCCTCGGCGGGGCCGGGGCCCAGCGCCCAGAGCCTGCAGCACAAGGCTGGGAGGGTCAGGGTGGGAAAAGGCAGTTTCTGGGACACATCAAGGATGGTTTAGCAGCCCTGGCTCCTGCCCGCTAAATGCCTAGCATGCCTCCCCCTCCGGGACAACTCAAAACGCCCCTCACGTTTCCAACGCCCCTGGTGGCAGTTCCTTGATGAAGACCGTGGTCCCGAAGGCCCTTCTGGCCCTGACCCCTGACAGTTTCATGGGACCCAAGGCCAGGGGCCAGGGCCCAGGCCTGCCTCGTCAGCAGAGCCGGGACACCTCACCTAGGCCCCCGGCCTCCTGCCCACCTTGCTGTCAGCACGACTGGGCCTGCCACGAGCTTGGAGGACGTGGCAGCCCCGCCTGGACAGACAGACCCACACTGTCTGTGGCCCCCGCATTCCTGGCCTCCTAGGAGCCGGACCAGGGCCCCTGCCAGGGAACCGCCAACCAGCCCTGGCCAGTCCACTTGGGGCCAGTTTCCACCTCGGAAAATCCCGGCTTCCTCAGCCCCCACCCCCGCACGGGCCTGGTGACCCACAGGCCCCTCTTCTGTTCCTGGCCGGCGGCTGGCCTGCCTGAGTCTAACAGACGTTGCCAGGGAAACAAAGCAGTCGAGGGCGCTGGCTCCCAAGCCATGTGTTGCCTGTGGAAACTTGAGGACATTGCTTAACCTCTGCTGTGCCTCAATTTTCTCATCTGCAAAATGGGGATGATAGTGGTCCCTACCTTCCCTGCTGCAGTGAATAATAAGCCGGCTACTCCGTGCAAAGCACAGAGAACCGTGAATGTTGCATCAGGTGTTAGCCGTGGCCACACGCAGCGGCTCCGCACTGAGCAGTGGGTCAGAGCTCAGAGTATGTGCACAGTGGGGGTGTCCCTTTGCTCCCCAAACACCTGCAGCGTGAGCAGGGTAAGGATCATCGGCTCTGGGGCTCAGAGAGGCGACAGCTATAATGAGTGGAGGAAGCAGAATTCGAACACAGGGCTATCAGGACAGGAGTCTAGTCTTCTCCCCTCCGCAGCTCATGGCCACCACTGTGGCTACCGGTGGCTCCCAGCCCTAGCTGGCTGGGAAGGAGCAGAAATGGACGGGCCGCGGCTCAAGGGGACCCCCCCTTGCCCAATTGGCCAGGACAGAGCCAGGACTCAGACTCAGGTGTCTGTCCAGTGCCCCTTCCACTGGGTCACATGGCTTTGGCCACATGTCTGCTGGCCTAGCGTCCCTGGGGCAGGGAGCCCCCGTCCTGAAGAAATTGGGGTACTGACTTTCCATCTTCTCTCCAGGAGTGGGAGGTGCCGGGGCTCTCGGCGGAATAGGTGTCCCAGGCGGTGTGGCAGGTGAGTCGAAAGCCCAGGACAGGGTGGGCAGGGAGGAAGACTGACCAGTGGAGAGTCCCCCACCCCCCTACACACCCTGAGCTCCTTCTGTGTCCCCAGGAGTCGGACCTGCGGCCTCAGCCGCTGCTGCCAAAGCCGCCGCCAAAGCCGCCCAGTTTGGTGAGCATTGGTTGGGGGTGGAACTTGAGGGGAGGGCTCTGACCATGCACGGGGCCCTCAGGGGCATCGGCTCCCCAGAGCCCAGCCCACGCCCTGCAAGGCCCTGGGAGCTCAGGCTCTACCTGGGTCCTGGGATGAGAACCCCACCGTCTGCAGACAGACCCCTGCCATTCCCACCAGCAATTTAACACACAGCTCTCTCCACAGGCCTCGGGGGACCCGGAGGCCTGGGAGTCGGGGGGCTCGGAGTCGGGGGGCTCGGAGGCCTTGGAGGTGAGGGACTGCTCTGGAATCAGAGGGTGCAGGGGGCGTGTGTTTGTGTGTGTGTGTGAGAGAGAGAGAGAGAGAGAGAGAGACTGAGCTTCCTTCCCACCTGCCACACCTGCCCTAGGCTGGCTGGCAGCATTTGGAGGACCTTCAGCAAGTGCACGCTGGGGCCACTGCGTGCAGCTGGGCACCCCTCCTCTCCCTCTCCCATGTCAGCCTACCCACCCACTTTAAGTGGGAGTTTTCATCGGGATGACGATGGTTGTGCCCATTTTCCAGAGGAGAAAAGCAAAGTTGGGAGGGACATTTTTTCCCCAAAGTCTCTGCCACCGCCGGGGGGGGCGGGTGGTGTCCACCGCGTTGACATGTCACTCTATCGTGGGCCATCACTGTGTCTCATCCTGTGTGCTCCTGACTGGACACGCAGGAATAGCTCACTAAAGACTTTGGGGAAGATGGGAGGATGGTGGCAGGTGGTGAGTGGGTGAGCAGGCCAGGAGGGGACAGGACTCCGGGAGGGCGGTGCTATTCCTGAGCCCTCTGGCCCCATGTCTCCCCAGGTGTGTCCCCGGCCGCAGCTGCTAAAGCAGCCAAATATGGTGAGTTGCTCCCTCCGTCCAGGCAGCAGGCTGTCTCTGCCCCCACCCCATCCCTGCCCCAGCTCCCGCCTCAGTCCGCTCACACTACCCCTGAAGGCCTGCCCAGGATGTCCCCGACCCCAGTACCCAGAGAGGGGGCTCAGGGCCCCTTCAGCTGTGCCTCATCCAGACCCGGCCCACCCTCTCCTCAGGTGCCGCTGGTCTAGAAGGTGTCCTGGGAGCCACCAGGCCATTCCAAGTCGGAGGTAGGGGCCATCTCTCTGTGAGATCCTCTGCTCCGCCTGGGTCTAGAGGAGGCCTGTCTGGCTAGCAAGGGGGACTCCTAGAGCCACATCTAGCTCAAGGACACGAGAGAGAGAGAGAGAGAGAGAGAGAGAGAGACAGGGTGGAGGGAGCAGTCCAGGAAAGGAAACATCCTGGGCAAAGGGGCAGGCCTCAGACCAGCGGGTACACCGTAGGCGACAGACACAGGCTGATGAGCTGGGGGTGCGGGGGCCCCTGTCAGGGTGCTGGGCGGAGACAAGACTTGTTAGGGAAACTGCTCCGCCAGCGAGGGGCACGCGGCGGGGAGGAGGTGGTCCTGGGCAGAGAGGCAGGAGGTGATGAGGCCGGAGCAGGGCCTGCCCCACGCCAACCCCGAACCCCTCCCACAGGAGTTGCAGCAAGACCTGGCTTCGGACTGTCCCCTATTTACCCAGGTACACCCAGGCTCCCTGTCCCCTGGCCCGGCCTGGCGCTCCAGCCCCATCCTGCCCACTCCCCTGCTTCCTCTGCTCGGAAGAGCGGAGCCAGGACCCGGGGGTAGACCCATGGCCTCCCTTACACGAAGCCGGGCCTCCCCTCCTTCTCCTCCCCCTCCCCTGCAAGGCCAGGGAGCATCAGCTTTTCCAAAGCACCACGTTCCAGACGAGGCACACTGAGGTTCAGACAGTGCCAGGGACTTGCCCAAGGTCACACGATGACTGAGGCCGAGCTGAGGGCTCCTGACACCCAGGCCCAGAACTTGGCTGCCCCGGGGGGCGGGAGGGAGGCTTGGCGGGCTCCCCAGAGTGGACTCACTCATAGCCCCTCCCCTTGTCCTGCAGGTGGCGGAGCCGGGGGCCTGGGCATTGGTGGTGAGTCAGGGCCCTGAGCTACTTTCGTGGAGTGGGGGTGGGGTGCTACTGTGGCAGCAGTGACCGAGGCCATGGCCCTAGGCTGGCCCTCCGATGCCAAGGAAATTCAGTTGTGGGATGTAGGGATGCGTGGGGGGGCAAGGATCCCATTCCCGGGGCTCGCAGCCTGGCATTTGACATGACACCAGGAGACAGAGACCTGGGCCAGCCCCCCATCTCATCTACGTGTAACTGTAGAACCTGATGAGACCCCACAGAAAAGGAAAGGAAGCATGTAAGGGGAAAACAAGGTCTGTTCAAGCAGGTGGTTAGGGAGGCCAAAGCCTAGGGCTTTTTAGGTGGGGCAGTCTGCGTGGCTGGGGTCTGACTGGTGGGCGGGGGCATCTTCCTAGCTGCTCAGACCACCACAGGCAGGATACCGTTCATAAGGAGCAGAGCAGGTGTCCAGCTGGGTGAGACCGAAGGCCAGGCTGGGGGCAGGAAGGTCTTCAGAACCTTCTGTGACAGGCTGGAGGCCTGGTACATGGTGGGGGTTCTGGGAGAGGCAGCAAAGCTTGGCCGCCTCCCCAACCCCCACCCTTCCCTCCACAGGCAAACCTCCCAAGCCCTATGGAGGGGCCCTGGGAGCCCTGGGATTCCCAGGTGAGTAGAGACTCAGCCCCTGGGAGAGGGCATGGCGGGGAGGAGCGGACAGAGGCAAAGGGCTGGGGTCCATCAGCCTGGGAGCAGCGTGTTTGGAGCAGGCCTAGCGGGGAGGGAGTGGGGAGGCTGGGGGGAGCTGGTCACCTCACCCCCATCCCTGCGTCTACCTCCGACACAGACACCCAGAGCTAAGAGTGGGCCTGGGACCCTCCAGGCTCTCCCCAAGCCAGGCCTGGCAGTTTCTCCCTCCCGGCTACCCACCGGGAGGAGCCAAGGGAAAGAGAAAGGAGGAGGGCGAGGGAGGAACTTGGAGGAACAGAGGAAGAGAGAGTAAATGGGACAATGGACCTTAGAGTCAGGGAATTTGAGGGGTGGATGGGGGACCCAAGGTGCCCCTAGCCAGGCAGGGTGGGCAGAGGCCACCATCTGGTCCAGACAGAGCCACACCCTTGCTCAAAGTTGCAGACGTGCCTCTGGGAATGTGTGTGTGTGTGGGGGGGACAGATAATGGTCACCACCCCCCAAGGCACCTCCCAACAGTTCCCAGAGGAGACCCAAAGACGCCCAGCTCCACCCCTGTGTCTACTCAGGCTGTGGAATCCCTTCCTTCCCCACCTGTTTCCCACGACACAGATAGGGCAGCTGGGGCCAGGGCTGGGAGAGGCAGAGGCAAGACCAGCCCGACCCTGTCCAGGGTAACCCACTCTCAGGTACCACTTGATGCGTGTGGCCTGATCACACTGCTTTCCAAACACACTGGAGGAGCTTCACAGGGAGAAGCCTGTCCCTGCCCCGCTCGGCTGATCGCTGCCACCAGGTGGCGGTAAGGAGCCGTGTTGAGCTGCCCAGGGGTAGAAACTACATCAGGCCCTGCTACCAGACAGCGGTGCCTTGATGGCTTAAAACGAGGCTTGCCAATCGGTGCGCTCAGAGCTGCTCACTGAAGCCTTCCCAAACGCAGTGGACTCAGAACATAGAGACCTTGTCCAGGCCAGGGCCCTTCCCCTCCCTGAGCCTTGATTAGGCCACCATCCCATGGGCCCTGCTCCCACCCCCCTGCCTGGGAGGAGTTACGGTAGTGCAATGGCTCAGAGTTTGGTGGGAGGTTGTGGCCAGGCTTCTCATGGCTTTGGAGCCTCTGTTCCCCACTGTGTTGATGTGGGTGTGAGAAGACCTTGGAGCTGCTCCAAGCGGTCAGGGGCTTGAGCAGGACCCCGGAGGGGTCGGACCGTCATGAGTGCCTTCTCCCGCCCAGGTGGGGCCTGCCTGGGGAAATCCTGTGGCCGGAAGAGAAAGTGAGCTTCCCGGGACCCCTGACTCGCGACCTCATCAACGTTGGTGCTACTGCTTGGTGGAGAATGTAAACCCCTTGTGACCCCCTCCCCCACCCCCC